GTACTTATTTACAACTGATATAATTTAAAGTTTGAAGAAGGAAAGAGCTCATTTTTAAGTTTCTTTAACATTTTTAAGACTTTTGGTTTAACTGAGACATATTAATATTGCACATACGCACATACTAATATTGTACTCAAAGTAAACTACTGATGACAAATAATAAATACTGATAATAAAAAGGTATCTACTTCACCAACAATCCAATTAATAAAATACTGATATTTGAGGAAACAGTACAAGAGTTGGTAATAGGTTCTTCCCAAAAAAATTAGTGAGCAAAAATTTAAAATCAGAGTGTACTAGAAATTGGTTCTATAAATTTAAGAATCGAAGACGCAATTTTACAAATTGTTATTTTCACGTGGAATAAATCTCTCTAGAAATGCATGAGCAGCCAGTTTTACAAAATATATTCTACAGAGCATGCCTACTCGTTGGTCTGCAATAGGGAAAATACCCCAAAATAATGAAAAAATCTCAGAAAATGGAAATAGAGCGTTAGTTCTAAGCTGTGTGCTGAATAATGGAGCACGCAAATGAAGAAACAAGAGGCGAAACATAATTAAGCAGAAGCTTTCTTAGAATTGAATATCTCAATAGAATGAATAAAAAATTCGTAGAATATTACTTCATCACCCCCGTAACGGAGAGGTTGGGAGAGAAAGGGGTCACTAAATATGCAGTACACCATAGGGAGGGGGAAAGTGGAGGAGTTTCGTAAATTTATTACGCAATTGTGTGATTGAGGGGGTAATTGAAAAGAGTACGTACACTACAAAAGCAAGTGACATTTGAATATATTTGGATAAAACTGTCATGAAAACTGAGTAAAAATCGCGTTTTACCTTAAAAAAATGTTAATATGCTGATTATTTTCCATCCTTTACACACCGCCTAAGTTTGTAAGCTTATTCTTGTAATTTTGTCAAATGTAAAGAAAAGCTCATGATACGATCATTTGAGGGAGAAGATTTTTATTTTGAAATTGTTTGAAAGGGATCGGCAGATACCGGAGTTTCCCCCAACTTGGTATCTCCCACCAGCGGGGCATCGCTCCAACCGGGACAAGCTTTAAGCTCCTAACCGCTCTCCCGGCATATGTGGTAGTATAGTGCATGCTAGTATGTGTGTAAGTATGGAGCAAGGATAGGACGTTGAAGAGGAAAGGTAAATCGCGCGCGGTCCGTAGCTCGTTTGTTAGGGTGCAGCTCCAGCATTCGCCTGGTGTTGATCGGAGAAACCACGAACAACTATCGATAACAGCAGCTGTCCGTTAGAATTCTCCTGACAGCGACTGAATTCGACCTAGCTCTGAAGCTAATGTCGAGAATCCCGTCAGCGTGGGGACTCGAACCTAAGTCCTCCCGGTCAGAGGCAATGTAGTAACGTCAATGGATGCCCTGAGCCACCTCTCTCGGTCGGTCCTTACGATCAGAGACCGACTGCGTTGACGGAAGCTTGGGCGTTGTCCTGGACAGTGGCGTGGGGTGGAGGCGGGGACGGGACGATGTGTGAGGGCGGTAGGCGGGCCCGGCTGTGTGGGGGCGGTGTAGGCGGCGAGAAAGACGTAGGCGCCGTCACTGTCAGGGAACGGAGACGGCGCTAAAGGATGCAAGTGGCAAAGTCTGTAGGGCAAAGTCTGCAAGTGACAGGGAGACGGCGTTGGTGTTTGTGACGGTGTCAGATATTGTGACGGTGAAAGTAATAATGAAGGTGAATGTGAAGGTGACGATGGCAGTGACGGTGACGGTATCGGCAACGGTGACGGTTAAGGCAACAGTGAAGGTGACGGTGAAAGTGACTGTGGACAGTGACGTTGGTGGCGAGGGTGACGTTGACGGGGACTCTGATAGTAACTGTGACGGCAATGGAGGCGGTGACAGTGACGGTGATGCTGAAGATGACGATGAGGTAGACGCTCGTAGTGACGTGGTGGCGACGGCGATGGTGACGTTGACGGTGACAGTGAGTGACCGTGACAGTGACGATGATAGTGACGATGATGGCAATGACGGTGGTGACAGCGACGGTGATGTTGACGGTGACAATGCATGTGACGATGACTTTAGTAGTGACGGTGATGGCAGTGGCGGCGGTGACGGTGATGCTGATGGTGACGCTGAGTCTCACACTTATTGTAACGTGGTCTACGACGGCGAAGTCGGCGTAGACGGTGACGATGACAGTGACAGCGACTGTGACAGTGTCCAAGTGTTACGGCGTCGGCGGCGTGTGTCTGCGAGGGGGCGTCGCTGGGGCGTGGGCGGCACGGGATTTGAAGCGCAGTTTACTACCGGGATTTGCGCGATAAGCGGCCATTAGCTGCTCAGGCACTGATAGCGGCGCGGGCGACGCCCACAGCCTCCGCCCCTCCGCCCCCACCCCCCGCCTGCAGCCAGCGTGCTCTACACCGCCGCGCCGCACTCGGCCTTGGAACATTTCTGCACGGGTTCATTAGGCACGTTCGCGGGCGAGACTTCAACAACACCGGTAGCAGGGCTTCGAGCATGCAAACCCCTAGCTTTTGGTGCGCAGGGCGACCAGAAGAGGGAATGTTAAGCAACGTGCTTAAGGCTCCGAGTTAACAGCACAAGTGTTGTTAATAGTGTAACGTACTAGCGATCGAACCTCGTGGTAGCTAATTGGAGGATGCGAGGAAAGGGATTTAGCACCAGGAAAACACCTCACCACGGGAGGGAGAAAAAGGCTTTCTGTAAAGCGGGCGCGTGGTGAAGGGAGACACGAGGCGCTCTGGGGTTCTGCGATCTTAGAGAATGAAGACCAAAACATCGGAGCCGCGTGGCAAACATACGCCAGCTTTCATCCTACTCAACCATACTTACTCCATAGCTTCCACCAGGCCACAAATCTAAACTAGGGAACCGGAAATGCGACTTCAATCGCATAAAAATACAACCAGACGTGGTTACATTAAACCCCTTAATCCACAGACAAATACAGGATGAAGAACAAATCCGATCACAATATTAAAACTGTAACGACGATTAATAAACAGGAAGTACATCCTCTTTCTCAGCACCTGGCAGAGGTCATCGCCTCGATGCTTTTCCTAGGGAGCGTTCACCCCCGCACCCTCTGCTCTCGGAACCAAAACAACACGCGAGGTGTCGATAACAGGACTGCCCCTCCCCCTCGATTCCGCTGCCCCTAACACCTGCTCCGCTCCCCTGACACCCTCTGTACAGTGGACGCGCCCCCCAGGAGAACGTAATGGAAATTGCGGTTTATTAAAAGTAATAACAATAATAATAATAATAATAATAACAATAATAATAAAATTAAAAATAATAATGAAAATAATAATAATAATAATAGTAATAATAATAGTAATAAAAATAATAGTAACAATAATAATAATAATAATAATAGTAATAATAATAATAATAATAATAATAATAATAATAATAATAATAATAATAACCGATTGATGTGATTCAGGGCATTGGATTCGCATGCAGGAGGTCCGGGTTCGATCCCCGGTCGGTTATCCTGACCGGGGTTTACGTGGTTTCCCTCGGTCACAAGGCGAATGCTGGGATGGTTCCAAAACCCCACGATCACCTCCCACCTCTCACTACCCTATCTAAGACCACCTTCCATCATCCTAGTTATTTAACCCCTTATCATCACCTAATAATAATAATAATAATAATAATAATAATAATAATAATAATAATAATAATAATAATAATAATAAAAATAGTCGGCCCCGTGGTGTAGACAGTTGCGGCAGCCTTCGTCTGGATGGAGAAGGCTACAGGTTCGAGTCGAGGCTGTGCCCCTTCACCCCTCATCATCATCCTATCATCTTGAAATTCACAATTCAAGGTGTAACAACCTAGTTGTACTAAGTGATGCGGCTGAATGTCTGATCCTGGAAAAATTACAGACGTTAATCATGTAGCGTGGTCAGTAATGGCCTATACGCCAATAATAACGGTGATCTTCCTCCGTTGTATGGCGAGATTGTATGTACCCCGAGCTACCGTCCCGAGTAGCGGGGTTTTCCCAACCACGTATCTCCCACCAGCTGGGCAACGCCACAGCCGGGACAAGCTCTAAGCTCCCACTATGTGAGATTGTCTAGTGCATGTTAGTGTGTAAGTACAATGGAAGAAAGTACAATGAAGGGGAAGGAAAGATCGCGCGTAGTCCCTCACTTTTATGTAAGGGTACTGCTCTGCCTGGCAACGATCGGATAACTACTAAAAACTACCGATGAGAGCAGCCGGCTGTTCAACAGCGGCTGAATTCGACCTAACTAAGGGGTCGGTATAGATGAAATTTTTAAGGGGTCAGTGAAGATCTATTGGGGTCTATTGGGGTCAATAGCTAAATTGTAATCGGACTCCTTATCAGAAAATGCAAGATTCTATCGATTAATAAAATATTAATGAATTTAATTAACTGTTTTATGATAAAAAGCAACAAAAGTATAATAATAAATTACAAATTCGCGCTTCTTTAGTACTCATCTTTCATCCCTAGGAATTAAGGAATTAGGATGTTTAGAAAACTCAAGTAACTGTTACTATGCATTCACAACGAAACTATTGCACAAGAAAGTTCTCTCCGCAATACGCACTGGCGAAATGTGTCAGTTATTAAAGAACACTCAACATTATGGAAAGATTGCAACTCAAAGAATATTAGGAAATCAACTACTCATAAACGGAAGCTCCTACGATAATTAAAGAATCCAGATACTTACGAGAATAAAGAAGGATGAAAGTATTATCTTTAAGGCATTTGTGTGCAAATCTTTGTGTCATGATTATGGATGTGTAATATAAAGAAAACATAATTCGATGAAGCATTCTCTTAAAAGAGGTAAATGAAAGAAAAAATTGGGAATCTCTACTCTACGCTACCGGGATTAATGACCATTGCAGTAGGCCCACCCTCGGAAACACCAGCCAATAAATCGATAAAAACAACGAACGGTGGTTGGTTGAGAACCGCCCTTAAGAAAAGCGTTAGGAACCATTGTGATCCTGTGCGCCGAGATTTGATCCCTTTAATTCACACCTCCGCCAGGGCAGCGTGGGAAAAAGCGAGCACATCTGCACCCTCCCCTCTTTGGGGTGAATGCGAGCAGGGGCAGGCGAGCTCTGCAGGCAGGTGAAGGAAACAGATAAACCTTCGAACTGCAGGTCGATGACCGGGCCCCGGAGTCGAGAAGATCCCAGGTCATTGGCACCCTGGATAAACCAAATTAAATTAAATTTCACGAGTAATATTGATCTGTTTGGAGGGGGAGGAAACGAGACATAAATTTGGAGTTAGTTCATAAATGCATAAATATATTACAAACTGAAAGACTCGTAGTAGTGGAGACAAGCTATACCAAAGTCTAGAATAACTTTAAATTATAAATAATGTACATCTACTGATAATAAGATATGTTTTTTCGAGCTGTTTATAAATAATAATGTGTACAATGAAATTATAGTATAAATTACCTAATTAATACCATACATACATTAGTGAAAGTGTGTCTTTCATTTTTAATGATGTATGTATGTATGTATTTGGCATTTAGGGTCTGATTAATCCGACTCTTGCCAGCAAGCGGTGTTTTTATTTATGATCTACACCTGGGGGTGAAAGAGGGTGTGGTGAATTTGTCGTATTACCATCACCAAATATTTGGCCTGCTTAAGCTTTCTTTCGTCATGCAGTTACAGAAACAGACGATTTGTATTAGAAGGCTTAATTTTGACCTGACCGGGATTCGTACCCAGGACCGCCAAAAAACCAGCACGCTGTTTATGAGCCACCCAAAGAGACATTTTTGTTGCTATTTCCATTTAAATAATTTCTGAAGTTTCCCTTGAATGTTTTGCAAAATAAAACAAATCGTTTTCTTACCCTCCTGATTGATCCCTTCTGTGGATTTCATAGTTTTATTTAGATTTAGATTTATTGAGTCAAAAAACAGTAAAATCGGTATGTGACGTATAGGGGAGAAGATAATCTGCGTAGTTGAAAGATGAGCAAAAATTAAAGATAAATAAAGATAAAATTTTTTAAAAAAGCTTGACAGCGGTGCGAGATTTGAAATACTAGACCTGAAAACATTCCCTTCTACAGATTTTTCAGAATTTATTAATAATTTCATCTCTATAATACAGTGACCATTGTACTACAGGTAGTTTGAATTATTCAAAGTTAACAAATTTATAAGACATCCAGCGTTAATAAATAATACATACGTGTCTTTATAACATTGGCTGTGAATTCCATGCATCTAGTACATGCTATGAGAAACGCAATAGTTTAGAGAAAATCTAAACTTTCATCAGTATAATTACTATGTGTCAATTCGAAACACCACTCTTTATAAAATCGCAAGATGGCATCAGATATTTTAATTTCGTGATATTGTGATTTCGTTTAGTAAATCTTCCAAAATTTTACCAAAGTCTACCAAATATTTAGTAAAATGAAACAAGCGATTATACATTTTTAAATTATAGTTCTTTTTCTTTAATTACACTTAATTTTATATTTTTTCCAGTGTAAAACAGCACAAAATTGATTGGAATCATTGGTTGTCATTAACTAATGTTGAGAAAGTGATGGCTTATTAATTTAGAGAAATTCGTACTAATAGAATAATTACATATAGATATAGAGTTCAGGTATGATAAGTTTTCTTTTTAGAAATTCGTTGCAAGTTATAAATAATCCTAAAAGTATCCATACTTATTTTGAAACTTTCAAATAGTTGTTCTACATGATTTAAAACATTCCATGATAAGGAGAACACCTTTGATCTGCAAACATTTTTGGAAAATTGGGTGTTAACAATAGAATAAAAGTACCCAAAAGAAAACCTAATTTTAGTTTTGTCAGTTTTCAAATACAATTAAGTTTCCTTTTATGTATTCCTGTACGCAAAACTCAATAATTTTGTGAATATTGTAATGTGCTTCTGTATCCCACTTGGTAATTATTTCTCTTAGTTCGAGGATTATATTTTAATATTCATTGTTCTCCTTAATGAAAGGTTGGGACACATTTTTCTTCCCAGACTTCGCACTTCGTCAATGAAATGAATATTTTACAGAGTCTACAAATAGGTGTGATAAAATGATTGAGGAAAACTGGAGACATGAGATTCAAGTGTTGCTAACTTATCTGACCATCTCATCACTTCATCACATCTACCTGCCCCTACATATTCCTTTGAGATCTTATCGTTATAATGAATTTTCCGTGTTTGTATGACCTTCCTTAAGTGCACCTCTCGTATAAAAATCATATGCTATGTATATTATGTTCAGAATGAAATACTAATTTCTGTTATTCTTTTCTTTCTCTTGAAAACATACGTCAAAGATGAACAATATCAACATTGATAAAACATTCTCTCGTAGAAAAAACATGAAAATACAGCTTAATATCTAAAAAACAGCAAACCTCACAGCAGTGGTTTTTGAAGAGATTCATGTTGGTAGACATTATTTTCATTATGTTTTACACGGATTTACTTTTTTCTTGGAAATGCAGCCATTAAAATCAAAATGTAATGCTGATTTAGATACCTCAACGATACATCTAAAGAATAGTGTTTTTTTCGCTTTTGTTTAGAGGTTCTTGTTTCAGATTTTCAGCGACGATTCAGAACTAAACTGAGTACCAAAGAGTAAATGTTAGAAGACATGGCAACGTAGATGGAACAAAAGAGAAATCTAAGGGAAATAGTTGAGTTAAAGAAATAGGCTGAAGAATAGTAAAAGATCGGGGAAGAAGATAAAAAATAATCAAGAAAGAAAGGAAGAGGAAATGGACACAGAAACAGAAAAAACTGAATAGGGAGAGACGAAACAGGACCGGTAGAAAATGAGCGAGAGGTAAAGCGAGAGGAAAAGGCGAGATGAAAGAGAAATTGGGGCGCGAGTTAGTCATAGGAGGGAGGGTGCAGAAGAATTCGATAAAGAGGAAAAGTGGCACTGTTGGAGGGAGAGGTAGAAAATGCAAACACTAAAGATGAGCAAAGAACGCAACCCTGGTTCCAGAGCACCACATGAGTCCATGAAGGCCGCGCGCTACACAATAATCTTTTAGTGCTAGTATAAGAGAGTGTGCGAAAGCATGAAAGTTTGAGTGTAAATGTGTGTTTGTGTGAGTGTGTGTTTGTGTGTTTGTGTGTTTGTGTGAGTGTGTAAATGTGCGTTGTCTTGTGTCAGTTAGTGTGTCTTTGTGTGTGTGAATGCATGTGTGTATATGTGAGAGTGAGAGTGTGAGGGATGTGTTTGTGACAGTGTGTGAACGGTGTGGAAGATAGAATTGCGAGTGTGAGAGTGTGCGAGTGTGCGAGTGTGCGAGTGTGCGTGTGTGTGTGTGTGTGTGTGTGTGTGTGTGTGTGTGTGAGAGAGAGAGAGAGAGAGAGAGTAAATGTATATGTGAGTCTGTGATTCAATGGCTGATCCAAGGGGTAAATGAGAGCCATGAGGGAATGTGGGCCTCAAAAAAGGCCCAGGGTTTTCATTTGTTATCTTGCTTTGTTTGGCCAAATTGGTTTATATATTTATTTATGTTAGAATTATGCAATTATTTTTTTAAATTGTGAAATATGTTGTTTACACTACAAAAATAATATACAATATAATTACAAATATACTTATTTAACCGAAATTTATGATGCCCCTTTTCAAAAAATGATCGGCTGGATCCGCCTTTGCTGTGAATGCTTCTGTAAGGGAGTATAATTATGAAGGTATTATGAAGGCCTGTGTGTGTGAACGTGAGAGAGAGAGAGAGAGAGAGAAAGAGAGAGAGAAAGAGAGAGAGAAAGAGAGAGAAAGAGAGAGTAAACGAAGATGTGAGAGTGTGAATGTATGAATGTACACGTGGGTGTGTGAATGGCTGTGTAAGAAATTATAAGTATAAGGGTGTTAATGCTCGAGTTGCATGTGTATGTGTGTGTGTGTATGAG